GGTGGAGGGTCAGAGAAAAAGAGGAAGAACCCCAAAGAGATGGACTGGCCAAGTGGCAGCATCGATGCACTCAAGTGTGGAAACAGTAGTGAGGCTGGCCCAGGATTGGGTAGTGTTTTGTTCTGCTGTGTATAAGGTCACTATGGGTCATTACTGACTTGATGGCACCTAACAACAGCAACTCGTTGATGAAACAGGATAATAGGTTTGGGAATGTTTCCTTTCTCAGATACAATAGTTAACACTGTTCTAAGTAATGTTCTTGCAAAATTCTATCATGTGATAAGAACACCCACACTTGCAGATAATACCCACTTATCCTGGCTTCAGTGACTGGATGATCAGAGCTCAACCAGAAGTAAAAAGAAGAGGAGAAGTATTCTCATACAATTTGATGAACTTGACCTACACCTATGGAAGCAGTAGCTCAAAAGAGGGAACAAGTCCTTACAGCAAGAATCATTCCCACCCCTTCCACACACATTGTAGACAGGGATGGGCAACTTGGACATTGGCTACCCAAAATGGGGGGTGGGGGGCTACAAAGGCAAGAAGTGACTAGCTTACAAGCTTTCAAGAAGGAACCTAGATCCAGAGGGCCTGGAGGACAGTAGAATCTCCAGTGAGTAGTATTCTATCTGACTAGGCAGGGCTGATGCAATGAAATGCGAATGGGTCTCTTGTGATACAATAGTGAATAATTGTTATCAGGACTGATTGTGAGGGTTGGAAATGTAAAGGTAGATGTTTTATAGCAAGGAGGGGAGTGATTAACGTTTCAGTCTAGGAGCGGAGGTCCCTAGGACCATCAAGGGAGAAGAGCAGAGAGCGTGACCCTACCCAGAGAAGCAGTGATGCCTGAAATGGAGGCAGAGATGATGATGTGAAGCGATGGAGCAGGTGGAGGGAGACTCTAGATCCAGAGAGGGAGAGCAACTGTGTGCTGAAGACCTGGGGGGTACGGGGGAAGGATTGCATGGAGGGGATTGTAACCATGGCAATGAGATATACGATAGAATGAATGTAAAACTAATGTTCTCCCATGTAAATATCACATAATTCACAATAAAACATTTAAGAAAAAAAATTTCTATCATGCGATATCCAGCATCGTTTCACCAAGGCCATGTTTTTCAACTACTGATCCTTCATTTTGCTTCCAACCTTTGCATTCCAATCACCAGTAATTATCAATACATCTTGATTGCATGTTTGATCAATTTCAGGCTGAATAAGTTGGTTGTTGTTAGGTGCCACTTGTCTGTCAGTTTGTTGTACTGTGGTGGCTTGTGAGTTGCTGTGATTCTGAAAGTTATGCCACCGGTATTTTAAATACCAGCAGGGTCACCCATGGTAGACAGGTTTCAGTTGACCTTCCAGATGAAGACAGACTAGGAAGAAAGAGTGACAAACTACTTCCGAATATTTAGTCACTGAAAACCATATGAATAGCAGAGAATAAACTGGCAGAATTCTTCAATTTTATCATCAGTGGCTTTAGTGGTTGGGGCATACATTTGAATAATAGTGGTATTAACTGGTCTTCCTTTGTGGCATATGGCTATTATCCTATCACAAACAGCATTGTACTTCAAAAGACAGATCTTGATATGTTCTTTTTGATGATGACTGTGCCACCATTCCTCTTCAATTTTGTTATTTCTGGCATCATAAGCCATGTGATGTCATATTCAAACTGGCTAAAACCAGTCCATTTCAGGTCACTAATGCCTAGGATATCGATGCTTATGCGTTCCATTTAATTTTAGACAATTTCTAATTTTCCTAGATTCATACTGCATACATTCCATGTTCCAATTATTAATGGATGTTTACAGTGTGTCTCTTCATTTTGAGTTGTGCCCCATCGCAAGTGAAGATCCCGAAGGCTTTACTCATAACAGTTGAGTCATCATGGTCAACTCTTATTTGAGGAGGCAGCTCTTCCCCGGTTGTATTTTGAGTGCCTTCCAACCCGAGAGGTTCATCTTCTGGCACTCTATCTGACAACACTCTGGTGCTCTTTATCATGTTTCAATATTCAACATTCTGGTGCTGACAGTGTTCCACTGCTATTCATAAGGTTTTCAGTGACTAAATATTCTGAAGCAATCTGTTTCTCCTTCTTCATAATCTGTCTTTGTCTGGAAGCTCAGTTGACACCTGTCCACCATGGGTGTACTCTGCTGGTATTTAAAGTACCTGGGGCACAGCTTTCAGAATCACAGCAACACACAAGTCACCACAATACGACAAGCTGACAGATGAGTGGTAGTAAGTGAGGAGTAGGTATATATTACATTAGTTAAAGCACAAATGTATCTACCAAACTCTGATGTAAGAAATCTAAGACC